ACAATTACGTATTGACAATCTAATCCTTACTCGGCGTCCCTGGCTGTGTTATTGTGCGACCAAATCCGCATGCACATGCTGCCAAAACTCAACTTTTCCCGAATCAGCTTTCTAAATGCCCTTCACCCTCCACCATATTACACCCTCTCCACGACTATTTATTTTATAAAATATTTAAAAAGTAACTTAACTGATTAAAAGTTTAATAATCTTAAGTTAGAATTTTTAAGTCCAATGGAAAAAAATTTGAAAAAGGTGAAAGGTTATCTTTTTTATATAATTTATTATTAAATTAAAAAAACATTATATCTCAAAATATAGAAGTGAAATTATTATCATTATAATATTATAACTTTACAATATAAAATGACATTAAATAATTATTTTTATTTAAAAATTTATTTGTGATATTATATACATTTATTTATTTAATATTACGTTATATTTATTTAATATTACGTTATAACTGTAAATTTATAATTTTATAACCATAACATTGCCAAAGTAAAAATTTGATATGACTATTAAAATATTAAATATGATATTGATATCAATTATAAACTTATAATTCTATATAAATTATATATATTATTATATAATTAATTTTTTATTTAAAATTTTACTTATATATTATATATGTTTATTTAATACTATATTTTAATTATAAATTTATAATTTTATATGATATCATATAAATATATAATCTTTTAAAATACAAGAGTAAGGTCTAATCTAAATCAAAATGAATGGAAATTATGGAATAACACTTCTTATATTTAAAGGACACTTTTATGGAAATTACAATTTTATCCACTTATTGACACTTCTATTCATCCACAAACATCACATCCATGGATCAAATTGTAATTTGATAAAGGAAAAAAAATACTTTTTGTATAAGCCTAACAAATCTTTGCGTGGCAAAAATCGAAGCGGTGGAGTGAAAGTGACAAAAACCAAACGAGGATTAGAGATAGAGAAAATTAGATAGCATAGTACTATTGCGGATGGACGTGTGAGGGGATGGTTAGGTTAATTCACGTGCACATATGCAGAAAAGGTTTTGCGGCCTTTCACGAGCTGTGTCCTTATTTCCAACCTGTAAGGGCATATACCTAGTTTTATAGGGCAGGTTAGTGAAAAGTGTTGCTTAAGCTAATATGTGTGAACGTATCTATATATATTTATTTTAATTGTATAGTAAAAAATAAATTTTTTTATTTTTTATTATATTTTATGTATATATTATGTAATTTAAATTCATCTTTTATTATATTTTATCTATGTATTATATAACTTAAGTTTAAAATTTTTTATTTTTAATAAAATAAAATAATTATTAATTTATTGAAGTTGTTAAACTAAATATATGTATTTTAAATTCAACCATTTTGTTAGGACTTGTTTGGTAGTGTTTCCTCCACCTTTTAAGTTAAAAACTTACTAAAAGCTTCATTCATGGTATAATTTTCTTATTGAAAGTTGAAAGAAAAATGGGAAATTTTGGAGACGAAAGGAAATGCATTAATTATCTTTAAGACGCGTGGCAAGGAGAAGTTATGTTTCTTTTATTATGTAATGTTTATGTTAAGGACTTCTTAAAGCAGAAGAAGCTGACTCCGTTGTGTATCTAATGTAATAAATAGATAAAGTAGCTTCTTCGTAGCAGTAATGGTGTAAGAACCAAAAGGAGGACCACACCCGGGTCAATGTGAAACACAGATTTACTTTCAAGCTGGAAACTACATACCCCTTTCCATCTTCTTCTGTTTAAAGGCATGGAAGTTGAGAAAGAGGGCAGTTCGGTTATTGCAAAAATCCACCTCTCATTTCTGCGGCTATAAATACATGCATGAAATCCAAGAACCAAAGCCGGTCTTGGTCGGTACCTTTAATCAAAGTTCAATCTTTTGGAAATCCAACCCCAAAAAATATCTTTCTTTTTTTCCTTCTTCTTCCACAGCCCAAAGCAACTTTTAGTGTTTTTCTTCTCTCGAATCTGTATTGCACTCCTACAATTCTTCATCTTTCTGCAGTGAATCACATATTTTGTTCTCCATTTTTCAGTGTTTTCCTTTGGTCTTTCTTGTTCTACAAAGAAAGGGGACAGTTTTTTTTTGTGCCCCGTTAATTTTCTGTTTTCTCTCTATTTTACACACAAGAATCGTGGAGAAAATGCAAGGTAGTAATCTTGCTTTTGGATTCAGCGATGGTGCTGATATTCGGGCTTCACTGTCACAGCTCATTTTAGCAGGGGGCACAACAAACACCTTGGACTCCATATTTTCTCATTGCCCTCCATCCACGACGGCCCTCGCCGGCCCTGTTTATGAGCGACTGGGTTCTTCGGTCTATCTCCGCCAGAGAGATCTCCTACAAAAGTTATGTAAAGAAAACAGAGCCAATTACGGTTGGTGGATGCAGGATTTAGGGACAAGTTTCCTCCAGAACTCTGCATTAACGAGCATGGATGTTAGTCCAACGAAGAAGAAGCTATACAGGGGAGTAAGGCAGAGGCACTGGGGGAAATGGGTAGCTGAAATTAGGCTACCTCAAAACAGAATGCGGGTGTGGTTAGGCACCTACGATACAGCAGAAGCAGCAGCCTGTGCATACGATCGTGCAGCGTATAAGCTGAGGGGGGAGTACGCGAGGTTGAACTTTCCAAATTTGAAGGATCCAAGTAAGTTGGGGTTGGGAGATCGCACGGCAATGAATGCTTTGAAAAATGCGGTGGATGCCAAGATTCAGGCTATTTTACAAAAGTTGAAAAAGGAAAGAGCGAAAAAGAATGCAAAGAAAAGAGAATCTCCTGTTGCTCGTGAAACAGAGAAGGAAGTTAAGGAGGTGGATGATTCTCCTCCTTGTTCATCGTCTTCATCTTTGTCAGCCGTGGTCTTTAGCAACGAATTGTCTTCGCCAACTGTCTCTGAAGATGGGGTTTGGAGATGTGAGAATTCTTCGCCGCCATCTGTTTCAAATGATTTCCCGATGATCGGAGCAGAGGAACTCGAACTGGAGGGCTGTTCGTTGGCCAGAATGCCATCTTACGACGCCGAATTGATATGGGAGGTCCTAAACTAATTAGATTTCAAAAGAGATGTTCTAGCTTCTGTAGTGACAAGTGTAAATTGTTTGTTATTGCTCTCTGGCAGGCTGTCCTGTTATTTTAATGTTTGGCCGTATAGTTTGTTTGCAGTTCCTATCTGGAAGGCTCTTAATAAATAGCAATAAAAAGTAAGAGCAAGTTTTGAGTGGAAAGAATGTAATTTTCTTTTTCTTGAAATAAAATTTTGAGTTGATGTTTTTTTAATGAAAAAATTGTTGGCGGAAGCTTCGGCCCATGAAAATCCACCCCATTTTTCTACCGCCCTATGGCCAAAGGCTGCACCTATAAGCAGCAGTTGTTGAAAATTTGCGATGATTATTTCAACCATCGCATAAACCTCATTTAATGAGGTGAAGAAATGATGCACCGAGTGTTTGGGTTTTTACCCTATAAATACCCATGCAATGGCAAGAGTGCAGCACCAAAGTGAGCAAAGTGAGAGCTTGGGTGAAAAAGAAAAAATGGGTGAGAGTTAGGCATTAAATTTAAGTATGAGTGTGTTTCATAGAGAATATATTGAGTGATAAAATTATGAGTTTATCTGAATTATGATCATATCTGGAGGGAGTGAGAAACACAAGAGAGAAAATACTTGAGTGTATACTTTGTATAATTTTATCATATAGTAAAATATCTTTTGGAGTTTGTTTCATGATTTTTTCCCTTAATAGTTTTTGGGAGGTTTTTCCAAGTAAAATTTGGTATTATCTTATCATTTTATTTTGCTTTCTAAATAGCTGGTTAAATCGCTCATTTTATTTTATTTTTTTCTTAAATGACTGGTTAAATCGCCTAATTTATTTTACTTAGCTGGTTACGTCATTTTTATCACTAACCATTAATATTGGTCGGTTAAATCGCCAGTTTCACTAGTTCTCTATTATTGTTCAAGTGTTTTGATCACATAAATTAATTTATTCCGTTGCGCCATTTTTCCCAACAAAAATAAGTGCTAAAAGAGTTTCATTTTTATAAGTATAACATGATTTAATTTTACCAATGATTTGTTGGTCCGAGTTAAATGAGTTCGGTTCTTCTAAATTTTAAATTAGTTGAAATCTAATGTGATTATCAGATATCAAAAAGTTAATACAAAAAAATATAATTTAATTTTAAATTAATTAAAATTTAATATAATTATTAAATACTGAAAAATAAATATCAAAAAATAATAAAAAGATAGGACAAGTTTTTAAGTAAAATTACATTTTAAAAAGAATTTATAATAACAATTAGATTAGATTAGATTATGAGCTCTACATGAACAACTGTTAAAATCATTTTGTTATTTTTGTTAAAAAATAGTTACCCTTCGTCAGAATCCTTTTGCCGTTACTCGGAAGAACTCCTTTCATTCATGATAGTTTGTGCGTTGATTGGGTGCTTCATAACAGGCAAGGAACATCGTTAAAATCCGCCCGAACCAACAGGAAATAATCCTCACATTTGTTATTTTTTCTACAACCTGTCTACTAATTTATACATATCGTGATGTGATGTGATGTGATTGGACATTTAGGCATGGAACGGGGGGTTGGGGCAAGATCTGTACAGGACAACAGGAAATTTCCCTTCCCTTTTCTTAGTTCCGCTACTGATCTCAAAATAGAATTTAACACCTTTTAACGGTATTTTTGGAAACATGATTTTTGTAAGGTATATTTGAATTTGAATTTTTTAAATGTAATAATATTATTTATTTTTACAAAATAAGTATATAGTTAAATTTATTGTAAATATATGTATTTTTTTTTATCTTTTGACTTGAAAGTTGCTTTGCCTCAAAGAAATCCTTCAAAACTTCAGTATAGGACCTCCTGCAAAGCAATGAAATGTCCCAGGAAAGGAACTGCAGGTCCAGAACATAAACCAGTAGTAGATATCAGTACTTACACAAGGAAAGGATATGGTGGCGGCAAATTGTTAATTTCAGCTTATCTTTCTCAAGCCAGTGAGCCACAGTTGCACTGATGAAAGATTTGTATATCGGACCATTTATTTGCAGATACGAAGTCCGAAGGTCTTGAAAGCCCAACCCATCCAAACACAATCGAGATTCGAGTCGAGTCTGCTTCATTCGAAGCCCACGCCCAAATTCTATGAAAAACCAAACTACTTAAAATTTGAGAAAAGTTTTTTTTTTTTTTTTTTATCTTGAATTATGAGTTAAGTTTTTCTAAAAAATTTATTTTATTGTATATTGTGTGATTTAAATTTACAAAACAAATTTTAAAAAAATTATTATTAAGTTACTTATATTGTTGACAAAAATAAATAAATTTTTAATCTAGACTAGCAAGAGAATAAGTTGAAAATTTTAACTTTTACATCATTGATGACCGATGAGTAATTTGTATGTAATATTTAAGGCCATTGTTGAGTTTATAA